ATGTTATGGGACTGAAATGGTGTTGCCTGTGCTGGTTCATTCTGGAAGACCCAGGAGAGAATCTTTTTTTCCTTGTCTCTTCCAGCCTCCAGAGGCTGCTGGCATTTCTTGGCTCACAGATGCATCACTTTAATCTTCCATCGTCACATCTGCTACCAATGGACTCTGATCTCCTGCCTTCCTCTTAGATTACTTTTGTGATTATATTGGGCTCACCTGGATAATCCAGGCTACCCTCCCCATTTCAAGATGCTTAATCCCATCTGCAGAACCCCTTTTGCTATAAAAAGTAACTTTCACAGGTTCTGGGTATTAGGATTTGGACATCTTTTGGTAATTATCTTATCATGCCACATTAAACTGCTGCTTCCTTAATTCCAAACCTCACTCCCACCTAGACAATTATTTCCCAACCATTTACATAACCACCAAAGTTGTGTCCTCAACTTCAAATCGAACCATAATCCTCTACTCAAAGCCTTTCAGTGCTTTTCCATTCCCTACAGAATCAAATGAAAATTCATTTTCTTAGCATACAATTGATAGTGATTTTAGAAAGGAAATTCAGCTTTTCTTTTGTCACTCTATTGGAATCTATGCTCCACTCATTCCAAATTATTATGCTTTTTCTATTCTGTTTTTAAAGATTTTTTCTTTACTTTTAGAGAAAGGGAAAGGAAGAGGAAACAACAATGTGCAAGTTACATTCATCAGTTGCCTCTCACATGCCCCCAACTGGGGACAGGGCCTTCATGCAGCCCAGGCACGCGCCCTGACTGGGAATCCAACTGGCGATCTTTTGGTTTGCAGGCTGGCTCTCAATCCACTGAGCCACACCAGCCAGGGCAACGTTTCTTTGCTTACATTTTTCATTACCACTATGCTAGTCCTTCTTCCTTTGCGTGCCTAGCCAGCACATCCTGAAGCTTCAACTTGGAAAGTTAATGCCTTCCCCACCACTGGCTGACCACTATTTCCTGTGCATCCCTATCAAAGCATTCAAAACAATTTATAGTAATATTTTGACTTAAAATGAATGCTTGACTCCAAAATTATTAAGGGTAGGAATTTTGTAATTTTAGCATCCTGTGCCCCTAGTATCTTGACTTAGATATAAGATCTAAATGGAACAATTAAGGTCATGGAGAGTTAGTATGTGGTTATTTTCTAAAAGTTTGAATACTGACGAAAACTGGCATGCTGCACAAATAGCCATACATCCACAATAAAAGTGGTAAGATACAACAAAATTGTTTTAAAAATTTTATGTTTATGTCTGGAATTTTTGAAGAGCGTTTGCTCTTACTCCTTTATATTGTAGATGATTAAAGAAGCTGAGAAAATGACTTGCCTAAATATTGGGTTGGCCAAAAAGTTCGTTTGGTTCTTCTCCATACAATGGCTCTAGTAGTGCTTAGTTGTCTTGAACTTCATTCAAAAACAGTTTTGTTATATTGTATTGTGACAATTCTCTTATCAGCATGCATTAAAAAAAAACCAAACAAACCTTATCCAAATTGGTGAATTTTGGTGTAGCCATTTTAATATTGAAGACGGAGGAAAATACGCAACATTTTCAGCATGTTATGCTTTATTATTTCAAGAAAGGAAACACAACTGAAGTGCAAAAGATTTGTGTGGTGTATGGTGATGATGCTGTGATCGATCGAAAGTGTCAAAAGTGGTTTGCGATGTTTTGTGCTGGAGACTTCTCGCTGGATGGTGGTCCACAGTCAGGTAGACCAGTTGAAGCTGATAGCGATCGAGATATTACTTGAGAACCAACATTCTACCACGTGGGAGATAGCCAACACATTCAAAACATCCAAATCAATAAATTTATTGGTGAAAATTAAAAATGTCTTTTTTTTTACGCAAAACACTAAACGAACCTTTTGGCCAACACAATACACCAAGACTAGTAGCAGAGTTGGCTAAAGCTATGGGAAGCCTAAAATTTCATTCGAGGTCTGTGGGGTGGGGAGGATAGTGATATACATTCAAACTGTACCTCCTTCAAGCCATGCTTATGGGTGTTACATTATTTTCAGCACACAATTGGTTGCAGGCATGAATTATGTCTTTTAGGGATCTACAAAAAATGGCAAGTTGACAACAGAAAATGTTTAGAGGTAACAATCATTGACAAGTTTAATGCTTTTTATTCCTCTCCAATACATCACAGACCTTATTGGTGAGGACTAGAACAATTAAGTCTTGAATAAAATCATGTTAAGTGCTCAGCACAGTAACTGGTGACCTGGAGACTGTCCAGATGAGAGAGGATAACTGGAATTAAGGTAACAACACTTTGGAGATATAGGAGCAAATAAAAACCAAACAGTTTTTAGCCCTGTCCCTAACACTTAAAATTAGCTCAAAGGAAATGTAATCTAATGACCACCACCCTATGTTAGAAATGAAGTATGCCTTTTGGACCTAAAGGGAATGATTTTAGGAATTATTTTTGCACCCACTTTGCCATTGTTAGGATTATCAGATATTCTGCAGAGAACAAGCATAACCATCTCAGAACTGTACACATCTCCCTCCCCACAAAAACTTCACCAATGTATCCAATTATGGTGAATGGCACCAACTTCCATCCAGTACCAAAGACACAAATTCATGGATGCCTTCCTTTCTCATTTTCCGTATCTAATCCTTTCCAGTCCTGCTCCTAATTGTTTCTCAAATGTTTCACCTTGCTCCGTTACCAACATCGGGTATACCTAACTGGTCTCTCCTCTGTTCTCCATGATGCACAAATTCCAAATCCAAGGAGTCTGGCTCTTAACCTTTTTCTCCAGCCTCATCTTGGAAGATGGAGTAATGTTCCTCATGCTTTATTTACAGGACACGATTCTTCTAATGCATCACAAGGCTCTTCCTGCCTCTGGATCATCACCCTCTCACTCACCTAATTATCTACTCTCTCAGATATCTGTCCTGTTTCTCAGGAAAGCAGTCTATCCTTGGACCATGCCCCCACTCCAATCATGTAGATACTAATTCCAGCTTTTATATATACTACTGCTCTAGTTTTACAATTCATGTAAGGACGGGAATTTTTTTTGCTGCCTAACACAGTGCCTGGAATACAGCATGCAATAAATACTGACTAAATGACTATTTCACTCATCATGATTATAAGCTCCAATGCTAAGTCAATACCCTCAGTTTTGACAAGGTCATAGTTACTTGTACAGGCAAAATGTGAAATGCAAAAGCAGCAAAATTAGAACTCAGATGCACCATTCAAAATGTAAGTGTATAAATGTAAGTAACAACCTATGTAATATTAAAGGCTGGAGTTCTACTATGGTCATTTAAGTCTAATGCAGTAGTCCAATGCAAAGGTAACAGGGGAGAAGTACAGCAACTTCAAAGATCTGCATAACAGCTACCAAAAATGAATTTTAAGGTAACATTTAGGTAGTTTGTTCCTTCCAATAACACCAGAAGAAAATGAAAACATCCTAGTTTCTTTAAACCCCCATACAAATTAAAGACAGTTTTGACAGTTTCCATTCCAGAGACTTTCATAAAAATTTCCAAGCATCCTGAAACTTAGACATATTTAGGTTAAAATTTTCTAACAAGGTATAGTTATAAGGTCATTTTAAATACAGCTCAAAAGGCTAAACAACTAAGTTTATCAATTTGGTTGTTAGCCCATTAGAATTAGTTTCTACTGTGATAAATTTGTTTCGTATCACCCCCTCTTGGCCAAATAAATTTACGAACAATTTGACATACGGCCCTAAAGCTGTGTTAGCATGTAACCCTGTAAACTTGTTATTAATGGAATCACTTTGCTCACTGGTATTAGCTGTTTCCTTTAAGACAAACAACTTGAGCAAATTAGTTTTAGATGTTTTAAAGGAGCAATGCTACTAATCAGCTAATTATCAAAGTGAATGTTCACACTTAATCTGACACCTCATACTGATCACATAACTTGGTAGGTAGTGAAATCACTGAAAGTATCTTATACTGTACTCACCATTTTCCTTAGAGGAAGCACTTCATGGCTTGTCTGGCGTATCTGAATTGCCAGCCTCATTACTTTTGCCCTGTGGGGCCATTATTAAATAAAATAACGGTTACTTAACCAAAAAAAAAAAAAGGGGGGGGGGGCACTGCAATACACCGACAGTAGGGCCGATAACCTGGAGCGGTGTACAGAGCTGGGTGTGCTGGGCGAAGGGATGATTCGCATTCCAGGCGCGCTCTCGCTACTCAGAACAGCATGGCATTTAAAACTTAGGAACTGTTTATTTCTGGAATTTCCATTTCATATTTTTGGACCATGGCTGTCTTGGGTAACTGAAACCACAGAAAGAGAAATTGGCAGGTAAGGGTGGACTACATTCAATAAAAGATGAACTGTCACATCGCAGATAACAGCTGTTAGAAAGTTAGAGATTCACTTGGCTTTTCCATTTTGCCTTATCATAGTTTAAAAAAGCTTAAAAGACCTATTTAAATTTCTCAGTGAACTTCCCCTTTAAAAATCTACTAAAACCCTTTAGCTTTAGGGTTTGATACAATCAAAGCAAAGATGTCATTGAAAAGGTAAAGAAAACCTAGTGGTTTTCTCTTGAAAATAAGTTTAAAAGCCTAGAATTTATATAAAGTCAGACCATAATCTGCTCAATAAAAGCAAAATCCTTAAGCTGAACACTGACCTATAATTTTTTCCCCTTCAGTAACTGCTTCACACAAAAATAAGAAAACCCCCAAATCAGAAAGCTGAACCTTAGCTCCCTGCGCTCACTTTACAGATGCAGCATCACATACCCTGCCGCCCCTCCCCTTCCCAAAATAAAACAAAAAAGCCTGCCAAGACCAGAATAGGGATGGAGTAGAGAGTGGGCAACATATGAAATTGCTGAAAAGTAAATACCAGTAGTCTTTAGACATAAATCACCTGGAGAAAAGAAAACCAATCCTGTTTTTAAATAATTTTATTTTTTCTAATTTTTGTTAATTTCCCATAGCACCTTGGCAATGTTGAAAACAAAAATACAAATACAGGATGTACTCATTTTAACATAATATGCATGAGCAGTGTCACACCATTTTTTTTGGGGGGGGAGACAGTTTTGACAACAGGAACAAACCTAAGCAACGGACAAAACAGAAGCCAGATAACTGGTTCTGACCACCCCCACAAACCCAAATATTAAGAGATGTCACTCATGGGACACATGAATCAGAAAAAAAAAATCAACATCATGTTTCTTTATACTATTTGCTCATCAGTGTTTTTTGCAGCAAAACTGAAAATAAAACCATTTTATTTTATACATAGCCTGTTGGTTATCTGAGTTATACTTTTAGGAACCATCTACTCAGCAAATCATAAGAAGTTCTCAGCTTAACAAAAAAACTTTTAACTTATTTAATAAGGTGAATTTTGAAAGAATTTACTTTCAACATGAAAACAAATTTTCTTTCAATATCTTAAAATGTCCTCATTCAGCTAATGAAAACTGAAATGTCTATGTATTTTCTTGGAAGCTCAGACAAGCCAAATTAGCATACACCAAACAACCTAAAGTTAAATTTTATAGCCACCAAACTGTAATGAAATTTTAAAAATTAGGAAAAAAACTGCCATCATATACTTAAGAATTTTTAAAAAAATCCTTCAAAAGGAATATACTGGCATCCCACATTTTATCTTTTCTGTAAAAACAAAATGGATACCCTTAAAATATGGTTAACACATATGGCCAACACAAATATCAGAGACTTAACCCCAGTGTTGTTCAACTGTAATCAAAGTAAAACCAGTGGACATTTAAGCCAAAAGATTAATTATTAAGGCCATAACTAAGAAAACTAAAGAAAGTATTAGTAACTTTTAAATACTATTTTCTGCACCAGCAGACGCTAACACTCCATCATTACATCTTTTGCAAAGCCAACATGGTTATTTAAAAAGAAAAAGGAATGTGAAACAATATTCAAGCTACCTTAATTTTAGGAACCAAAAATAAATTAAAAATCTGCATGTCATCTGATCACATGCAAATTGAGCACATAAAATGACAACAATAAACCATATTACTGAAAAGATTTTATCTTCTTCCCAAATCCAGTTAAAAAAATTTAGACAGATCAGTCTTACGAATGCCAGTGTCTATACTTGCAAAAATGAAGTTACTAGATGAGAGACAGGCCCTAGATAGCATGAAAACCTTATCAGGATAGAAGAAAATGGAGATAGAGTTTTACAGTATCTCTATATACCTTCTCTAAGTGCAAGGTGGTAAACTTGTGTGACTCTTTTCTCTTCATGCAGTAAGAACTATGGCAGAAGATCACTGTACCATACACTCAATATCATTTGTATCTAATTTTAGCCTCCAACAGCCCAAGGAAGTGTTCAGTCATAAGGTGAAGAAAAAAATGTGACATTTAAATTCCTCCTTCTAAAGAACCAAATAAATAGTTGAACTACAATGAATACTCAACCCTCATCAGTTACAAAAAGCCAACGATTTCACACAATTCATAGGTATCATTTAGATACAAACCTTAAATCTGCTGTAATAAAATAAATGCTAAATACATACTGTGAATATATATATTTTATATACACACACATTTATTCTTCCTAATACATCCCATCAAAATGGGAACTATTAGTTGTAATGAGGCAAATTAAATTAAAACAATATATTTTATAAGACATTTTGTAAGGTCATGTCTTTAAATTTCTACTTTCAATAACATTTTGGGAAAAAGCAAAAAGTACACTTGCTTTCTTCAAAAAGAAGACTCTTCTTATGTTTTAATTAGAATACTTAGTTTTCAAAAGCTGGAGTAAGTCACACAAGCATACAAATAATACAAGCCCACTTCTGTGACACATTGTAAAAAAAAAAAAGTAATGTTTCATTTCAAGTGCAATAATTAAGTTTATAATCCTTACCAAGTGATTTTTATAAAATGTTTATTCTCTTAAATCCAATGCATTCACAGAGTGTTAACACTTTAAATGTTTATCATTTCCACCAACTGCAGCATTATCTAAGTAAACCAAAATAAGCACTTTTATCATAGATATAATCAATGATTAATACTTTTTAAAAAAAGGACCTAAACTCCCCCCCCCTCCAATTTTCAGCACAGGTAGTTAATTGTATGTTTCATCTAGTAGATGATTTTAAAAAAATAGTGTATAGAAATGATTCTCCTTACTTAAATGTGTATCATGTTATCAACCTACCAAATCAAAAGCAATCACCAAGCTGAATAAGTTACAAAGAAACGATAATTCTGGCTTGTACAGAAATGTGCAGTTTTCAAAGCTCTGAACAGTTACCTATTAATACAAATCTCCAAAGCTTAACTTAAGAGTTGGAAGATGAGTTTCACAGTAATGTAATTTTAACCTCCATTTACATTCATTTTAATATATTACTAAGATGTTTACTCTATGTCACAATGGTGCTTTCCAGTGTTCACAATTTACAGTTTCAATTTGTACATGTCATTCAGTAACACAAGGGACAGTTATTACTATTACAAACTATCCCTAAAAAGAAAACAAACTCTGCCTTACACAGAACTCAGAAAATGGCATGACTTAAAACGGATAAAACAGACTAATGCAACATGTTTTTAGCATTTTAGCCATTTTCTAAACACCAGCATGTAAACTTGCCTATTTAATATGAGAGCTACAACTTTATTCACTGAGAAATTATGTATTAATTTTCTTTAACTATCTTTCTCACATTAACGCAAAAATCTCCTGACTTGCTGGCTCTGTCTCTGAATTCCAAGTCTTTTTTTTTTTTCTTTTCCCTTTGGTGGTACTGGTAGAAAGGCAGGCGATAAATGCACTGTAAACAGAACAAGTTGCCACCAAAGTAAGCCTAATTTCTTTTACTTCTACACTATCTACCATGTTAAGAGTTAATCACAATGTTTCATCTTTAACACTAACACAAATAAATTATTGTAGGGTCAGTCTGCCCTACTGTTTTGGTATCTAAAGTTCTAAATACTTGAACAGAAGAGCAAAATATTTCATTGTTCGATTCAGAAATTTAGAACAGTTATATGATTTGACTAGACTGGTCAAGGCAGTTAGAAACATACAATCATGTAGGTGTTTGTGGTTATTTTGCTTTTGGGGGTTGGCAGTCAAAGAACAGAGAGTAACAGCGTAGCAACAAAAATAAAAACCCGATTTCCTATTTTTTGGGGAAAAATGACAGGCCAATTTAAACCTGTGAAGTCCATATGACCTACCTACTCAGATCCAAGATTTTTTAATTATCTGAATAACCCCCATTCTTTCCTTGAGTATCAAACTGATTGGCAGTCACATCTCCAAGTACAATCAGAGTTTAAAAGCTTATTGAATGAAATACTAGTAAGCTCAAAAAGAGACTACATATTAAACTGGAAAAAAACCTACTCAAGTATGCGTTACATTCAGATTTCAAATCCTTTTCTAATATGACAATAGACTTGGCTTCAGTCACCCTTGCACACACTCAGCACAACAGGCACCCCAGCCACTGATCTGCTTTGCAACACAAGGCCATGTAGGCAGAGATGGCATTCTCCAAGCCAAACTTTAAATAGATTAAAAAAAGTAATTTCTAATTTTACAGAAATGCTTCTTCAAAAAATATTTTCTCTTACTCCCTCGTCTCCTATACTGAAGGATGTGTAATATGTTATTTTTCCCCCAAGCTAAACCTGAACCCTCAAAATTGATTCCAGGCAGATCTCTGAAAATTAAAATCAAAAACAAAAATAGAAAAATTATACTTTTATATATGTATACATATATATATATTTATACTGATTAGAATCCTCCAGCATTTTAAAATCACTTCAGAGATGAATTTTGGGATTCTACTGCTCACAACTCCAAAATCCACAATGATTTAAGGATATACTTTCTCCTTTTTCCTTCCTGGTTACCCACTCCCTTCCAAAATAGTTCAACATAGCCACGGCTCAAGTTTAATGGGAAGAGAGAGAGGTTTTGAAGTTTCGTTTGTTTGTTTTTACTTTGGTGATCTGGGTGGCACATATTGCTCTTTGCCATTACGTCGAGTCACTCCCTGAGGTATAGCCCTATGGCCAAACTGGCGTCTCTGTTCCCTGATTTTTCCAGCTGTTCCCCTGGGAATGTTATTGCCTCGGAAGCCAGAATAATCCTTATTAGCCCTTGCTTCTGGCTTCTCATGTAGTTTCTCAATGGACTTCTCAGGAGTTCCGTTCTCTTCATTTTTCGTGGGAGACACTACATTGGAGCGAAGTTCTCGTAGTGGCTGCACAGGACCTGGAGAAGGCTCTTTAGGGGGCTTCTGGCACACTTCAGCGTAACTTAACTTTCGGGGTTCCTTTGAAGCAAAGATACACAAAAAATATTTATGGTGCACATTCTCTAAGTAATAAAGTACAAAAAGGATAGCATTAACTTTATTTTCTAGGAAAGGGTAATAGGCACTTTCATGTACAATGTTATGAATTTGTATCAGTACAATCTTTTTAAAAAAGTACATTTACTGAAGATAACAAAAACAGCTGCAATTTACATATGAAACAAAAATTTCACTTGAGGAATTCATCTGAAGGATTTTCACGTCAGAATTGTTTATAGTGATGAAAAAAACTGGAAACAACCTAAATGTCCAACAAGGAAGGACATACTAAGATTAATAATGGTCCATCCCTATGATGAAATACAAAGATTTCATTCTTTCTTCCCTGGCTACAAAGAACCCTAAGACGGATTTTATAAAATTCTCTGGAGAGCATGCTGGAAACCAATGATATATTAATAGAAGACTAATTAAAAGTCTTAATTTACCTCACCTGAAAACGGAGGACAACAGGGGGTGCTGTGAAAATGTGATAAAGCATGTAAGAAGTCTTTAGCAGTGGTCCTAGCACATAGTAGGTATTCAATAATTGGCAGCTGCTATTCTATTATTACTGTTATTATTAAATCACAAGGTAAAATGTTCTTTACCTAGAAAAAGTAAAGAGCTATACCAAAATGCTACTAGTTATACCAATAAATGAAAGGATTATAGGTAACTTGTGTTTTTTCCCTTTTTTGTTTTAATTGTAAAATATGACATCAATTTATCATCTTAAGTGTGTATAGTTCAGTAGTGTTAAATACATTCATATCATTGTACAACCAATCTCCAGAACTTTTTTTCTGTATTTTCCTAAATAAAAATGATTACAGAAACTGAATATAAATCAGAGTGGTCCCTCATGGGTTCCACAGACTTGTTAAGCATTATACTAACTAACTAAAGTTTAAAAATACAAAAGGCTCAAAGTCTCTTTGTACTAGCCCCAAAATGACACATACAACATAAACTGAGTAAGAAATAAGCTTCACTTAACCGTAATAGTATGATCAGAAAAAAAGCAATAAACAGAAACAGCGAATAGCTTCTTCACTCCTTCAACGTGACAAAAATTCCCCATTTCTTCAGTGACTTTAAACTCCTTTAGCTTTTTTTTTTGGATGAAGGCAGCCTTAATTTGGGTTATTTCCAAAAGACTGCTAGAGCAAAGAGCTACGGGGAAGAAATTTCTCATTATTTAACCTATTTTGTTTTTTTCTCACATAAACTAAATCGATCAAGTACCTGTAGGGGCACAGTTACAGCTGCATTTATGTTACTATTGCATGGTGAAGCAGTATTTGTCCTTGATGGCTTTGCAGTAGTTGGCAAAGAAACTGACATAGTTGTCTGGTTGAGAACATCCTTCTGAACAGTGGAATCCTCTATCAGATCCTTTTCTTGCTGAGTTGTGCTAAGATAAAAAGAGCTTGATGTTAAACTTAGTATAGCACACAAAAACAGGTAAGCAAATGATCTGAAGAAAAAGCAATCTTAATGTGGAAGATCTTCTATATTAAAACCTGTACCTTAATGCGGGAGGCTCAGCTGTACATGAAGGGCTGGTACTTATATTGAGTTGCTGGGCAGAGGTGCAGCCTGTCTGTTCATCCTTTGCAGGAACTGAGCAACTGACTTGTCTCAACTCTTCATCATCCTTAAAGTAAAAACATATTTCAAAATTGTACTCACAGTAAAGTACAGCATAGAGAATGTAGTCAATAATTATATATAGTGTCAGGGGCTACGAGACTCATTAGGGGGATCACTTTGCAAGTTATGTAAATGTCTAACTGCTATGCTGTAAACCTGAAACTAGTATCATAATACTGAATGTCAACTGTAATTGAACAATAAAAAAAGTCTTTTAAAAATTGGACTTAGATAGGTAGCTCAGTGGATTGAGTGCCGGCCTGCAAATCAAAAGAGTGCTGGTTCAATTCCCAGCCAGGAGACATGCCTGGGTTGTGGGCCAGGTCCCCAGTTGGGGGCGTGTGAGAGGCAACTGATCAATGCTTCTCACCCTCTTTCTCCCTTCCTTCTCCTCTCTCTACAAGTAAATAAATATTTTTTAAAAAATTTATTTTTATAAAAATAGACATTTCTCCAAATAAGATATACAAATGGCCAACAAGCACATATGAAAAGATGTTCAAAATCATTAGTCATTAGGGAAATGCAAATGAAAACCACATCAAGAAACCACTTTATATTAACTAGGATGGCTATAATCAGTAAGACAGGCAGTAACAAAAGTTAGTGATGGTATAGAGACACTGAAACCCACAAACATTTAGGGTGGCAATGTAAAATGGTGCAGCAACTTAGGAAATAGGCGGTTTCTCAAAAAGTTAAACTTAGAGTTATGACAACTCACTTCTGGGTACATATCCAGGGGAAAACATTATGTCTGCAAAAGACCTATACACAAATGTTCATAGTAGCATTATTCGTAATAGCCCAGAGGTAAGAAGAACCTAAATGTTCATCAACTGGTGAATGGATAAACAAAATGTGAAACAGCAGTGCCCCCCTTATCCACAGGGGCTATGTTCCAAGAACCCCTGAAATTGCAGATAGTACCAAACCTAATATATACTATGATTTTTCTTATACAAACTTGTACATACCTATAATAAAGTTTAATTTATAAATTAGGCCTAGTAATTAATAGCAATAACTAAAAATAAAATGGAACAGTTAAAACAATATACTGTAATAAGGGTTTTGTGAATGTGGTTTGCCTCTCAAAATATCTTATTGTATTTTATTCACTATTTCATTTAAAGGAAACACTCTGCAGCTTCTATTTGGCATATACAAATTTCCAGCCTCATTACTCTTGTGCTTTGGAGCCATTATTAAATAAAATAAGGGTTACTTGAACACAAGCACTGTGACACAATTACAGCTAACCCGATAACCAAGAGAGACTAAAGGCTGGGTGCTGTATACAGTGTGCAGATGCTGGACAAAGGGATCATTCACATCCCCTGCATGCTGCTCAGAACAGCATGCAACTTAAAACTTATGAGCTGTTTACTACCGGAATTTTTCACTTAATATTTTTATATGGTGGTTGCCATGGGTAATTGAAATCATAAAGCAAAATTTGGATGGGGGGGACTACTGTATATTGATACAATGAAATATTATTGCACAATGAAAGGAATAAAGTAATGACACATGCCCCAACAATGGATGAATCTTGAGGACATCATGCTAATTGAAATAAGCTAGCTACAAAAGGACAAAATACTCTGTGATTCTTCTTATATGAGGTAACTATAACAGCCAAACTCATAGAGACAAAGTAGATGCTGGTTGCCAGGGGCTGAGGGAAGGAAGAATGGGATTTGCTGTTTAATGGTAGTGTTTTAGTTCGGTAAGATAAAAAGAGTTCTGGAGATTGGTTGTACAACAATATGAATGTATTTAACATTATTGAACTGTACACACTTAAGATCATAAATTGACGTTATACTTTACAATTAAAACAAGAAAAAGAAAAATAAGACAAGTACAAAGATCTAAATTAGGAAAGCCAAAACAAGAAAACCAAGGTCCAATATCAAGAGTTCGAGAGAGAGAGAGAAGAGGCAAAAAATTATCAAAGAGAAACACAAAAAAGTTTTTCCCACATGGAAGATAATGAGTTTCCAGATTTAAAAAAGCCCACCAAGCATGCAGTAAAATGGCTTGGGGGGTGGGGTGGCGGTGGAATACCACAGCAAGATACATCATCATGAAATTTCGCAGAATACCCGAGATAAAGAAAATGTTCTTAAAAGCCATCGGGGAGTACGGTTGGGGGGTGTGGGGGACAGGGAACAGGTCATAGGAGAATCAGAAATCAAAACCACAAGTTTCTGAGAAGAATCTCTGAAAGTTAAATTGTTTCCGAAGCAGATATAAAAGGAACAAACTCTAAAGGAATGACTGCCAAATAGAACCATATTAAAGATTTAACCTGATTTAAAAATGTGAGAAATAAATGACTCTTCATAAAAAACAACAAAACAAACCCTATCACTCAGCAATTTCACTATGTATATACCCTAGAAATGTTCTTGCTCACAAAAACGTTTGAAAAATTGAGAGCTTATAATGGTAAACAGACAAAAAATAGTTCAACTCTTCATCAATAGAATGTAATATTCTTAAAAAAAAACTTTAAATATTATATTCTTAAAATATTACACACAGTGCAAAATGAAATAATTGTCTCTATAAACAGTGATAAATTTCATACAATACAGAAGAGAAGTAACAGAAGAATAAATATTGTATATTTCCATTTACGTAGTGTTCAAAAACAAGCACACTCAACAGTATACTGTTTTAGGTTAGCAGTTGGTAAACCAAGGCCCGCTGGCCAAATCCAGCCTGTGACTTGTGTTGGTATGGCCTACAAGCTAAGAATAATAAGTTTTTTCTAAATATTTTATTGGTGGATAAATGGTAGTAGAAAAAAATACAATTAAAAAATAAAAAAATAAAGATTTCATTTATTTATTTAGAAAAAGAGTAACAGAGGGAGACAGGGAGCGGAACACCAATGTGAGAAACATCTATCAGTTGCATCTCCTATGTGCCCCAACCTGGGACTGAACTAGCAACCCAGGCATATGCCCTCAGCGGGAAATGAACTAAGCCACACCAGCCAGGGCAGAATAGTGTGTTTTTAAGGGCTTTAAAAACAAACACAGAATACACAACAGTATGTGGCCCACAAAACCTAAAATATTTACTATCTGGCTCTCTACAGAAAAAGTTTCCTAACTCAGAATGGTAAAGCTCTAAAGAAAAGCAAGGAAATTTTTATAGCAAAATCAGGATCATTTATCTCTTGGGGAGAAAAGGCGAAGAACAAGAAGATCTGTAAATAAGCAGAAGAGACACAGGGCACTATTAAGGTACTGGTGTTTTCAGCCCACAACTGTGAGTTGGCATTACAAAGGAAGTACACTTTATTATTGTGCTTTAAAAATTTACGTGCATGTGTATCATAATTCCAAATGCTGAGTGGCCATCAAGTGTAAAAAAAACATTGTTTTCTACACTGCCACTTAAACTATAATAGCTTTTATTTTTCATTTTTAAGATTTTATTTATTATATTTTAACAGGGGAAAGGAGGAAGGAGAGGGAGAGAAACATCAACGTGCAAGAGAAACATCAATCCATTTGCCTCTTGCACGCCCCCAACCAGAGACCTGGTCTGTAACACAGGCATGTGCCCTGACAGAGAATCAAACCTTCGACCTCTCAGTTTGCAGTCCAGTGCTCAATCCCCTGAGCCACACCAGCCAGGGCTACAATAGCTTTCAATTAAAAGACAGACTGATTTTCAAGGGTGAACTATGTGAAAAAAGCCCCAGCTGGTGTGGCTCAGTGGATCGAGCGCAGGCCTGTGAGCTGAAACGTTGCTGGCTTGATTCCAGGTTGGGGTGCATGCCTGGGTTGGAGGCAGGCCCCCTGCAACCGATTTATGTTTCCTTCCCTCTCTTTCTCTCTCCTTTCCCCTCTAACAGAAAATAAATAAAATCTTTAAAAAACAATGTGAAAAGAATGTTTATCTTAGAATTGACAAAGTAATGCTGATATTGCACTTTTTTTTTAAACAACACAGTGAAATACCTTCAAAATGTCAAGGGAAACAACAGTTCAAATACTCATCAACAGTAGAATGAATTCTAACAGAGAATTTTAATACAGAGAATTCTAGAGATAAGCTACTGATAACAGTGTGAGAACAGAAAAATATTTTCAGAATGTAAGATCTCTACAAATTTATACTAAAAACCACTTATTCAGGAAACTTGGGAAAATGTAACCCTTCACAATATGGCGAAGTGAAACAATAGCAAGAAAAAGAGGAGAATCTAACAAAAGAGAGTAAGGAAAATTCCCAGGATGATGGTGAAGGGAAGTTTCAGGAACAGAGCTGTGCAGCAGGCCACTGAGAGTATAGGAAAGAAGAAACAGTAACAGTATACTATGAGGCTGTTATGAAAAAAAATAAAAAATGAAGAGAGAGAGAGAAAGAGAGAGAGAGAGAGAGAGGGATGTGATTTACAATGATGGCATGTCCTAGTCTAAATGGCAATGCTTTTTACTTTCTTAGTGATATTAAATAATGGGACATCTTGTACTTGATCGTATCCTAGATATGATGAAGTAAAATCTACTGGGAAGATGAGAAGACTATGTTGCTGTTAAGAGAGCTAAATCCTTAGCTTCTGTAAAGCTAACAGACAACATATAAAACTGGAAAGTCAAGAAACAACAGTATAACCATGTTAATTAGAAATACAGGGATAAATGTCAGGAGAAAAAGGTGGACTTGAAGGTGACTGCAGGGTATTATAAGCTGAGATAAATACTGAAAAAAAGGGCAGAAAAAAATTTGTGAGGTGCAAATTTATCACATGGAGAGGTCTACACTCAAAAATAGTATAGGATGGAGTATCCCAACCTTCTGACATCCATTCACTATTATTTGAAAGAACAAGTTTACCAAAGTAGCTTAGAATTCATTTATATCATTGGTTAATTACAGGCACTTAAGTGGAAATGCCACTTTCCATTTGGCTTGCATTAATTGGTTCTACCAAGCAGAAGTGAAAAAACATTTTATTGACCTTGGGTAGAATTATCCTAAATCTTTTTAAAACTCAAAAGTATGCTGAAAATCCTATGAATAAAAACTATGTTAGAAATACTTATTAGGTATAAATAAAAACTTATTTAAAGTAATAATCCTGAAAACCTAAGCTAAATAGTCCCATAGGTAGAAGACTGGACGTTTAAATGTTTACCTTTTCTTTGTAGACACCTTTAACAACATCAGACATCCTACTCTCCAAAACAAGTTCACCTGGTGTTCTTGATGAACTTCCAGGTAAAGGAGGAAAATTTGAAGCTAGTAAGTCAAACTTTGGTGTTGGAGCCTTTGCTTCAGTTGCTGAAGGATGGGGTCTCTAAAAGACATAAATCATGAAACAGGTCACATGTCTATTTCATTCTCTAATCCTGTATCACAGAAGCTGAAAGCTTCAAAAAAAACTAATGCACAGAATATCCCCTATGCATTTTTGGCTTCTCATCTCAGTTGAGCTCTCATTAGCCTTAGGAAAAGAAATATGGAATGCTTCACAAATTTGCATATCATCCTTGTGCGGGAACCATGCTCTAACCTCTGTATCTTTCCAACTTTAGTACATGGCCTGCCGAAGAGAGCACATGCTTTCATTATTCCTTATCTTTTTAAATAATTGTATTTTATTGATAATGCTATTTACAGCTGCCCCAATTTCCCCCTCCCCTTTCAGTTACAGGACGATACTCCAACCACTGAGCAAGGCTCCATCCTTTCACTTTCAGTTCGTATCTTTTGTTCTGAGATGGTTCTCTTGTAGACAGCAAATTTATACATGGGTCATGTTTTTATATCCATTCAGCTATTCTGTGTCTTTTGATTATAAAATTTAATCCATTTAAGGTTATTATTGAAAGGTACTCATTTATTGTCATTTTTTGTTTATGCCCATGTACCTCTGTTTTTTAATATTACATTTTATTGATTATACTATGAGTTGTCCCAATTTTCCCCTCTTTGCCCCCCTCCACCCAGCACACCCTACTCCCTCAGGCAATCCCTCCACCACTGTTCATGTCCATGGGTCATGTGTATGAGTTCTTTAGCTGCTCCATTTCCTACACTGTACTTTACATCCGCATGGCTAGTCTGTAACTACCAATTAGAACTTTTAATCCCCTCATCTCTTTAACCATTCCCCTAAACCCCCCTCCCATGTAGCAATCATCAAAACGTTCTCCTTATCCATGACTCAGTTTCTGTTCTGGTTTGCCTAGTTTTTTAGATTCAGTTTTTTAAAAAAGTTTTTGTTTATTTATTTTTAGAGAGGAGAAGAGGGGGAGAAAGAAGAGGGAAAGAAACATCAATGTGTGGTTGCTTCTTGTGCACCTCCTACTCGGGACCTGGCCTGCAACCCAGGCAGGTGCCTCGACTGGGAATTGAACCAGCGACCCCTTTAGTTCGCAGGCCAGCACTCAATCCACTGAACCACACCAGCCAGGGCTCAATTGTTGATAGATACATATTTTTGCCATTTTATTGTTCATAGATTTCATCTTCTTTTTTGTAAATAAGTCCCTTTAACATTTCATATAATAATGGTTTGGTGATGATGATTTTTAGTTTTCTCTTGTCTGGGAAGCTCTTTATCTGCCCTTTTATTCTAAATGATAGCTTTGCTGGGTAGAGCAGTCTTGACTGTAGGTCCCTGCTTTTCATGACTTTGATGATTTCTTGCCAGTTTCTTCTAGCCTGCAAAGTTTTTTTTTGAGAAATCAGGTGACAGTCTTATGGGAACTTCCCTGTAGGTAACTTAACTGCTTTTCTCTTGCTCTTTTTAAGAGTTTCTCTTTATTTGTAATCTTTGGCATTTTGATTATGATGTGTCTTGGAGTTGGCCTCTTTGTGTTCTTGTTTAGGACTCTGTGTGCTTCCTGGACTTGCATGTTTATCTCCTTGACCAAATGAGGGAAGTTTTCTTTCATTATTTTTTCAAATAGATTTCCAATTTCTTGCTCCTTACTTCTCCTTCTGGCACCCCTATGATGTGAATGTTGGATTGTTGCTTATACTATCCTTGTTTTTCTGGATTCTTTCGTCTTCTTGTTCTGGTTGTTTTTTGCTTTCTTATGTTCCAAATCTTTGATTTGATTCTCAGCTTCGTCCATTCTACTGTTGTCTCCCTGTAAATTGTTCTTTATTAGAGTTAGTGCAGCCTTTGTTTCTGACTGGGTCTTTTTTATGCTGTTGAGGTCTTCACTAAGTTCCTTGAGCATCCTTATAACCACTGTTTTGAACTCTGCATCTGATAAACTGCTTATGTCCATTTTGAGTAGTTCTTTTTCTGGAGTTTTGATCGGTTCTTTCATTTATCTCCTTGTTTTGGCAGCCTCCCTGTGTTTGTTTCTATGTATCAGGTACAGCTGCTATGATTCCCTATCTTGGTAGTGTGGCCTAATGTAGTACGTGTCCTGGCACAGTCTCTCGTCACCCAAGCTGAGTACTCAAAGTGCACTCTTTGTGTGGGCTGAGTACAACCTCCTCTTGTAAGCGAGCCTTGGTTGCTGTTCGCAGATCAATGGGAGGGTTTTACCTAGGTTGGTTGGCTGCAAGGACTGGCTGTGACCACTAACCACCAACCTCCGCCCTCTGTGGAGGATCGGCTGTGCAGGGGCTGGGTAGTGGTGCTCCGAGGTGTTCGGTAGCTGTCCACTGGGTGTGCAGGTTCTGTGGTTTCCTTTTTGGTGCAAGGCAAGGTCAGCCTACTCCTGTGTTTTGCCTGGGGCCACTCTGCTTGAGCTATAAAGCAATCTGAGATGGCCACTACTTGTGTTGGGTTTGAAGATCCCCAGGCAAAGCCAAGCTGTGAATCCAGGCTGGCTGCTACTAGCGCTGGTCCTAGGGCCACTTAGCAAGAGGTACATGGGCTGGGGGGTCAATGAGGCTGGCTGTTGCTTGTTTGAGAGGATTTAGGAAGTTGTGAAGCATGTGTCAGGACCAGCCACTCATATGGAAAAGCCACTGTTAACAGCTTGAGTGGGCCTCTAAACTGGTTGGGATGGAGCCTCAGGGGATCTCCAGGGCAGGGCAAAGAGTCAGGTTGATGGAATCTCAGATGTGGCACCTGCCTACCAAATGCTTGCTTTGTGGCTCTGTGGGAGGAGTGTTTAGAAAATAAAAAACAGTGGCCTTTACCCCCCATTCTGTCTGGAAAAAAGCTGCCCCCCTCTCCCAACTCTCACCTTGATGCCAGACACTTCAGTTTCTCTTTCTGTGCCACTGGTGCCTTTCCAGTTGCTACCCTACAGCTAGATATCAGAGGGGGTGAGTCTGAGTAAGTCCATGTGTGGGTTCTTTAAGACGGACTGCTTGGGACTCCAGAAGTTTCTTCCACTGACTCAGTCCCCTCTAGTTTTTGCAGCCAGGAGTTATGGGGACTTATCTTACTGGCACCGGAACCCTCGGCTGGGGGGGCCTAGTGTGGGACCAGCCCATTTTGCATATCCTCTCCTCCTACCAGTCTGGATAGATGTGGTTTCTTTAATTCTGTAGTCGTCAGACTTCGATTCAACTTGATTTCTGATGGTTCTGTATAATGGTTGTTCTATAGTTGTAATTCTGAGAGTGGCTGAGTGAGCAGGTGAGCAGTGTTTACCTATGCTGCCATCTTGACCAGAAGTCATCATAAGCCCTTATCAATGCTACTTAATCTTTACTCAGCTCCCTCTCCTGTTTCTTTTGCAAACTTGGCCACACTCCTAAGCCTTCTAATCAATTTCCACTATTGTTTGCTTTCTAAATTAGTTATATCCTCTTTCATAGCAAAAAAACCCTACCTCACATAAATTTGCCACCATCTGTTTTCCTTCCACATAGTCTCAAGACAGAATAATATCCTTCTTTTCACCTATCACTATCCTTTGACAAACCTTTCATTGCTGTACCTCCTTCTCTACTTCCTCACCTCGGTATTCATCACACCACAGGGGTTGCTTTGACAAATCATCAATGACTTCCACAATACAAAAGCTGGAAAACTTTTTTTCCCTGGCCTTACTACAGCATTTGGCATGGGAGTTCATTTCTCCCTTAGCTTCTACAATACCCATTTCTCTTGATTCTCAGAGCTAACAGTCATGTGTTCTTTCCTCCCTGTCTACTTCTTTGGATGGTTTTTGTTTCTTTTCTTTTTATTTATCCTCACCCAAGGACATTTTTTTTTTCCATTCCTTTCAGAAAGGAAGGGAGAGAGAAACATCAATGCAAGAGAGAAGCATCAACTGGTTGCCTCCTGTATGCACCCTGACCAGGGACTGTATGCACCTGAATGGAGACCAAACCCGCAACTTAGGTGTGTGCCCTGACCAGGAATCGAAATTACAGTCTGTCAGTTAAGAGACAATGCTCCAACCGAGCCACACCAGCCAGGGTGGTTTGGTTTACACATGGTTACTACTTTTCACCTTCATACTCTCTCTCTGTGATATCCTTTATCCATGACTTCAACTACTATCTATATGCAATCCTTAAAACAATCTTTTTAACTTTTTGGTGACTTTTTTGCTACACAACTCTGAAAATTTACCCAAAATCACTGAGTTGTACACTTTAAATATTTTCAGCCCACATCTTCATTTGAAACCCAGATATCCATTTGCCGGCCTATCAGCCATCGTCACTCAGATTTTGCTCAGATACTTCAAACAACATAATGAATAATCTCTTTTTTTTCAGCCCAAAGCTACTACAGTCGCCAAGGTTCCACTCTTGGCCCTTTTTAAAAAAATCACTTGCTCTACAGAGAATTCCCCTGTCATGCTCTCACCTACTCTTATGAATTCAGTTACTATAAGCAAGCTTAAAAATCCTAAATTTTATCTCTAGCTAAGATCTCACTCCTGGACAAGGGCACCCCACACCTACCCTTCCTACCGGAAAACATGCCTATGTCTTTTTCTTCATCTCAACTTTCAGTCCAGACATTTTCAACATATTACACAGACCTCAAACCTAATCCCTCCTCTCCTCAATTGTCAGGTCCACTTAAGGGTGTGACTGCACAATAGTATCCTTAAAAAGTTACTGCCTGAAGTCTCATGGCTGCACATGGTATATAAAACTATAAATTAAAAAAGCAATGTTTTAAAAAGTTTACACTTTGCCATAAGGACTATTCTTTGTAATGCGATAGATTTTCTTCTTTGAAAATGTGTATGTTTTTCAATACTTATAAATGTGATATGCATACACACACACACACACACACACACACACAAAACAAATAGTAAATTATGCCTATGCTACTTATATAATTCACTACTTAAACATGCAAAATAAGCATTATATTACACATTTATGGTATATCTATAAATTCTAGGCAGGGTTTTCTTGAGACGTATGCATCTTCCTACACTATTTTTATTCCTCAACAGCTTTTTGCTCCAGTTAAGAGATGGTAAACAGTCTCTATAAACAAACCACAAAATAATCAAAATATGAATAATCTGAAGCTAGGTAAGTTAAGATTCAAATATTCTTGCCTAGAACTATAAATATTTTTAAGTGATTTTATAAGATTAGTGGATGTAAGAATGAACAGTAGGTAGAAAACTGCTCCCAATAAACAATTAATAAATAGTATAAGTTTCTAACGTTTTTAAAAGTGAATAAAATGCTTTATCAGTATGGCAAAAAAAATCGTATCACCTGTAATGCTATGGATAAATAGAAACTCTGTTCTGTTTGTTGAAGTGAAAATCAGCACAACTCCTACAGAAAGCTATTTAGCAGAAACTTATTAAACTGTTACCCAGAAATCATACTTCTAGAGATTCTCCTTCAGGTATTATTGTACACATAGCAAATGATGGCTATATGAGATTATCTTTGAGTTGTTTATAAGAGCACTTTTGTACAACCAAAAGATTTAAACTGCTGGAATGTCCATTAGTAAAGCAAGAGTTACACTTTTCATAAAATAGTTTCATATTTTTTAATTTTAAACTATGTCAAAATATTATGTATTTAAGTAATTTTTCTAAAAGCGAGAAACAAAGGTCAAATACCTAACTATATATGTACTTTAAGGGGGGAAGTGAGTCTAATAATGGTGTACATTTTAGGGTCAAGCACAGGCTCTATTTACCTTCTTTGCACACTATATTCAATAAAACAAAACCCTGGAAAGCCAAGGTAGACCACAAGTCAATGCTACAGTAAATCGCAGAAGGAAAAAAAAAAATGAACAGAAGTAATTAAAAGTAAAAAAAATACTTACTGGGATTCTGTCATCTTCTCGTCGTCTTCGACCTCTGAAAAGAGCTCTCCTTTTTACAATGACAAAAAAGTGGGTAGTGGGAGAGAGAACTCATAAGTTTCTTCAAATTTATACATTCTATCTAAAATAAGTGAATTTCTATTTTAAGTATCTATACTTTCTAAATTTCCATTATTGTTAAAAGATAAATATTCTTCTGAAGGGATCATGAACTAATCTATCAAAAATTTCAACTACTATCACTACCACCACGATGTAAGTTGAGCACATTTTTATTAGAAGCACTCTCTCCACACCAGAAGCAGATTACAGTGTAGATATATTTTTTTTCAAGCAGGTTAGGTAATATATCACCCCATTCCCATAGTTGTGCAATTATAAGAAATTAAACTATAATGTAGATATGATTTTATCTTTCTAAGCCATTCTTCCTCTGTGAGCTATAAAGATCTTCAGAAAAAAAATGAAAAGAGCTTCAGAATAATTTTCATAGACCTGACTCAGCTATATTCTATACGAACACTCTAAATTTCTTAATTATGAAAATGATTAATGTATTATATAAACAATGTATTTATTTAGCATACACCAATAACTAAGTCTAAAAAAACCTCCCACTATTTCATATACCTTATCTCCATATTTATTACCATTTCCCCTTACCTGCCCCCCCTTCCACAGTCCCCATTCTGTTCAATATGTAAAGTGGGAGTCTCTTTTGGAGGGTAGTTTTGCTCCTGATGCCCCGTTATGGTAGGGTTATGCCGTTCAGGTGGAAAATTCCTTGAACCAGATCTGTTTAATGGTCCATCCCCCAATGACACAGAGCCCTCTGTTGAGTGTTCCGAACCACTTGATGCTCTAAAATGAGGCTTCACACTATAAGAAATATAAGATTATATACATAAAAGGATAAATCAAGATGAACAGAAAATCTTTCTTTTTAAGGGTAGAAACTCTTAATAGACCAGGTTAAAAACTGCTTTTTGCTGTATGCTGATTAAGTTAAACATAAAACTGTTAACCCTTTTATGTCTCAGATGTATTATTTTTAAAATGCAATTTTTTCATTAAAAAATTATTTGGAGATATTTGGGGAAAGAGCCAAACTTTTTCAAGATAAAGCTACTTCTACATCAGTACTCAGGATAAAATTAGGATTTTAGCTACTTTCTTGAACATGAGCTACATACAGTCTTGACATATCTAAATCAGCCAAGCTTTAAGCTTCTTAATGAGTCTGTGCCATGCACGCTCAATGAAGCAACATCTCCCCCAAGCAGAGTAAAAAATGGTTCTTGGAGGAGGAGTAAGTCCTAACCGTATTAATTTCTTACTAATTTTTATGTATGAAGTACAGCTATACATACATTACATAAACAGGTTACATAATCTTTAGTATTAAATTTTTAGCCCTGGTTGATGTGGCTCAGTGGATTGAGCACCAGCCTGTGACCAAAAGGTCACCAGTTCAATTCCAGTCAGGGCACATGCCTGGGTTGCAGGGAGGAAACCAGTTGATGTTTCTCTCTCACATCGATGTTTCTGTGTCTCTCTCTCTTTAAAATCAATAAAAACATGTCCTTGGGGGTTGGGGGGAGAGAGAGAGAGAGAGAGAGAGAGAGAGATGGAGGAATACATTAAAATCCCAGCTTCTTACTAACTATTCCTCTCCAAATGAAATTTGTTGTTAAAAGATCCATATGTGAGACAAAACTAGGAAAATATAAAGTAACTAAAAGCTTGCCATGACTTCATGAATTAAGGTTTGAAATCTGGTAAAAACAAAACAGAAAAGCTACTTCTAATAAAAGTTGCTTTTATCTTGGATGATGTGTTTAAGTACTCAACTCTAAGGATTTGTAAGCACAGGAAGTTATGGTAAAGGAAAGAGGATGCAGTTTAATCAATAGTTCAAACATCTAAAGTAAGTCCAAGCAGCTGAGATCTTGGCTCTATATGTAGTATATTAAACAAGGAAGTATGAGACTTATATTTGGCCCCTTGCTTGCAGTTTATATGCTTATAACATTAATAATACACTGCCAATTTCTAGTTCTCTGAAAAGAGACTTAAAACCTCATCTGAATTATAAGCCCAACAACTAAAACACTAATTCCAACAGCATCTGCAGTTATCCTACTTGATAGAACACAAAAAATTAAGTTACTTAAAGATAAAACTCAGGCTACAGAGTTGGGCTGAGTTTAGTAAGAGGCGATACTTTTCCCACTATTACTTTCTGTCGCAAAATAGATTTTAATAGCAATAAAAATTACAGTATGTCAGCTAACACGAAGTAATTTTCAACATATTTACATTAACCATCATATCTGAATTTGACTTCATTAAGTAGCTATGATGTTTACATTATCTGTTTAGAAACTTTCACCTAAATTTTTTTATTGCATTACAATACACGAAACAGACAAGTTAGGTTTAAACAGCCCTCAGATCTCATAATCTTACCCTTCACAGAGAGGGACTCACAATCTCAGTCTGGGCAAAAGAAATAAGCGATAAAAGATAGAAAAAAAGAAGTAAAGTGACAGAAAGATAAAAGTATGAAAGGTAGAAAAACACCTAGACTTCTGAAAGTTAGTCCTATTCTCTCTAAGTAGATCAAGTGATCATCACTGGGCTGTTAAAAGATTAATATAATAAACTGCAAAAAGGGCTCTCTAAAGTTACTCTCTCCTCAACTGACAATAAAAATAACAGTCTGGCAGTGGTCACTTCTTAGAAATAAGAAGGCAACAAGGATTTGGGCTGGGAGTTAAAATGCATTTTATCTGTAATATTTGCATTTTTATAAGAAAGTATTCATGTACTACTTCTGTAACTAAAAATTATCAGCAATCTGTATTGGCCAAACATATAGAATATTGTACACAAATGGCTTTGAGTAACAAGCAAAATTATAATAAATCTTCCCTGCCTCTCCAAAACCATAGGCACACCTCCAAAAAAACAAAGATGACTTGACTGAAATTCCTGGCTTTCTTACTGTAATCTTACCCCTTTCACCAAAAAAGTAAAGCAGACAGAAACAAGTGACAATGAAGGAACACCATAAAAACATTCATTTTTAAGCCATCCATCTGCAAACATTGGTACTTTCATTATTAGTTAAAAAATTGCTTTTACGGAGATGCACACTAGGGCATGAAGAATATAGTCAATAATGTAGAGACACAGGGGTGTGGGGCCCGCTGGGTGTTTGGGACAGCAGGGGGGCCACTCAGTAGAGTGCCTGGTTTTCTGGCCACTCTGCTGTACATCTGAAAGTGGTTGAAAAATAATAAATATTTTAAAAAAAATTCTAAAACCTGCTTTCAGTCCATCTTATAACGAACATGTCTATTCTATTTACTACTTAAAGCAAAATTCACCCTTCTGAAGAAATGTGAAATCAACAGGTATTTTTATAAAGCTACTATTTCTAATTACAATAAATCTGTATCTTCTCACAAGGAAAACTGTAAAATGTCATTTGAATTAATTTTAAGAAAAAAACTTTACCAGCTATGGTACAGGAAAAGAGAATGTTCTAAATCTCAGATATGTTGATAAAAACTAATGGTGTAACTGTAGCAAGCTATTTCTCTTCTTCAACTTTCACTTTGTTCAACTGTAAAATGAGTTAAAAACTGTATCATAACAATCTGGTCTTTTCAGATTTAAACATCCTTGTTTTCTAATGAAATAATGTGTTTTGAACAACAAGATGGGAGTTACATGACCTAGCAATACTTGAATTTTGCAGTTAATGGTTAGTGTATTATTAAACTAAGTCATCCATAAGAGTCCAAATAACCTTTTGTTTATAAAGAATCTTTCATTCTTACCATGAGATCTCATTTGAAACTTCATAAAATGATACAAATGTGTATATGTAGTAAAATTTTTCTAACACTTAAAAATGATCTTTAAATGCTTTAACCAGTGTGTCAACTAAAGTACGTACAAAAAGTTTGACTATTAAGAGTGTAGTACATATATATGTTTTTCAGAATCCAGTAAGAATGTTTTTTAATACCATGAGGCTTTTTTCCTCCAGTGAAGTATGTTTCAGTAAAATCTTACAAAAAGGAATTAAGTTCCCAGAGGTTGTCTTGGAAAAACATACCCTATGTGGTCTCCTTGCCAAAAAAGAATCAACTGGGAGAAGGAAACCTGGCAAGAGAAAAATCACTGAAAAGAAATAATTTTATAAAAACAAAACCCAGGAGGCTCACAAAATAAGCAAATAAAAAAATAACAAATGTGAAACTATTAAATAAATCTAAAACAATATATAAGCCATTTTTCTTTGGTTACTCATACTTTGTCAAAAGACATTAAATATACCGAATTATTAAGATTATCAGTTGATGTTTATACATAAAGAATAATACTTCAGAGACATACCAGTATTTCATATGATAGCAAAGGTTTCCAGAGTTCTCAATAATATATTCAGAACATATGTGTAGGCTTTGGAGTCAAACCACCTGAGCTCCAATCTTGGCTCTGCTGGCTACTAGCGATATGCTTATAGATAACATATTTAACCTTGTATGTCTCAATTTACTATTTTTGTAATAGATATAACAACTATATTTTAAAGGGCTGTGAAAATTAACTATGATAAAACATGTAAAGCCCTTAAAATAGAGCTTTAGGCATGCTCAATAAATTTAGAAATGCCCAATAAATGTTGTGGTCTGTTATACAGTGCAGTTTATGAAAACTGTTTCAAAAAGCCAATTCTTAAAAATCCTAAATAATTCATATTCCCAGTATTTATTACTCAATTCTCATTCTCCAAAATGTTACCTACTTAACACACTAAATGGCATTTACACACCAGATTTTATGTTGCTACCATGAAATGTATTTTCTCTTCTCTTTATCATTAAAAAAAACCCTGTATAATCTCAGGCCCACGTTCTTTCTATACTCATTAACTCGGAGGTCAAAACGTGTTTATGAATTCCAGATGAAATCATTCATATACTTTTTTAAAAAGCCAAAAAAAAAAATCTCTTTTTATTCAGTCTGCAAATAAGCACTGCTATGAACAGTAACTCTATGAAAACTATTGGGAAGTGCTTACAATAAATTTCAGCCATGATTTTTATCTTACCGATTTTTTTGGAATGGTCGACCCATATTCACAGCAGCAGCATTTGTTTTATAAGATCCTGGTGAATTAAAGCCATTCATAAAACTACCATTGGGAAAGGGAGCCTAAAAGAAAATTTTAATGTTTAAAAACAATTAACAGTAAAGGCAAAATCTGGTGTGAAGGTCATAGGAAACTTCTGATGACCTAACCTATAGCATCAATTTCTTTTAGAAGCTCAAAATTATTTTACAACATTTTACTTATTCACTTTTGTAGTACTTTACAGAACAGAAAAAAAATCACTAGTTCATTTTTTAATAAAGAACATTTTTCTTTGAAAAAGTTTCACAAAACTAAAGTAATTTAAATCACTGGATTTATTCAATCTGTAATTCACTCAGCAAACTCAAAAGAATAAAGTTAAGAAACCAATAGCTCAACCTTTAGTTATATGCCTCCGTTTGCTATGGGATGTTAGATATCCTTATCACTACTTAAAAGACAGAAAATAACCAATCAGTGCAACACACACACACACCCACACACCCACACACACACCCTCCACACACCCACCCACAACCACACAAAAAACAAAAACTCCTACTCTGATTGTTTTCTTCAAATTTCAGCTTGAGCAAAAAATTTCAGTACTCTGTAAGGATCTCACTTACCAGTGGTGTTTCAAAGTAAGGTGCAGGATTTGGAGACCAAGACTGAGGCACAATGCTATAGATGGAGTACTGTTGGTGAGGACTATATACAGGCTGCATAAAGACTGGCGAGGCATACTGTGCTTGAGTTTGAATGGGCTGACTATACATACTAGAATCCATTAATCGATAACCATTCTTAGCAAAAAACGTATTGATGGCTTTTATCCTTGCCTAGAAGCAAAAGGAACATATTATAATAAAAAAAGAACTAAGTGTGCATTTTTACAAATATATTTAATTAAAAATTTTAACATATATTACATGTTAAACATGTAATGTACATAATGTAGTACATGACTACATTATTTCTGCCTGTTTTAGAAACAGTACAGCAAAGGAAAAGGAAATGATAGCTTCACTTAATTGAAACTTCTGTATGGCAAATACCACGACAAAGTAAAACCACACAAGTCAAAAAAACGAAACTGCAACTTAACACAGATGAGGGAGCTAATATTCCAAATATATTGATTCTAAAAAAAGATTAAAAAGCCTAACAATCCTACATAAAAATGAGTTACAGAAATTAATACCACTCACAGGAAAAAAAAGGCAAATGGCTCATAAACATATGAAAAGAGGCTAAACCTTACTGATAAGAGAAATGCCATTAAAATAACATTTATGTACACAATTGGCAAAAGTCCAAAAGTTTAACATATTCTCTTGCTAAGGCTGAGGCAAAACAGGCAAAGTGATACATTAATGAGGGGCAGGCAAAAATAGCACAACCTTTATAAAAGGCAAACTTAGCAGTTATCTTCCAAAACACATGTGCAGTTACCATATTTTCATCAATCCCACTTCTAGAAATCTTTCCCAAATATACACTGACCAAAACAAGTTGTTGTTTTTTTAATCCTCACCTGAGGACATTCTTACTGAGTTTAGAGAGAGGAGAAGCGGGGGCAGAAACATCAACAGGTTGCTTCCTGTATGTGTCCCAATAGCTGCAACCTAGGAATGTACTTTGACCAGGAATCAAACCCCCAACATTTCAGTTTACAGGATGACACTCCAACCAAGTGAGCCATACTGGCCAGGGCAAAAGAGTTGTTTTTGAAAACACACACAGCTCTTCAATGATACCAGTTGTAATAGGAAAGGGGAAAAATTTTTCCCAAACTCACACACATGTATAAAAAACAACCCGATAGTCATCGATGGTTGAATACACTATGATACATGCAGGTGTAAAATGAACGGAAGAATTGCTCTGAATATTATGTAGTGATTGCCAGAATATACAAACCTTTAAGAAAAAGAGGGGCGGGGGAAGGAGGGAAGAGGGGAGGAGGATGTTACCATAAGCTATTCTTTAGCTAAGTCAGATGAAAACATAAGGGTATAGTTGTATACACACGAGTATTTTAAATATTTTACTTTTAAACCAAGCACATACTGAAAACTACATTTAAAAAATCAATTTGTAAAAGTTAAAACCAAATAAGCCTAAATGTGTGTCTAATTAATAGTATAACATAGAAAAATCCTGAGTGACTTTGAACCATAACAAAAATGATCTGTTATGAATGTTCCTTAGAAAAAATCCATAAGGAAAAGTATGGAAAATTTCTCAATTAATTTTCATAATTACACCGCTACTGGTATTGTTATTCTGGCACTTTGTATGTTATTAAGGGATTCATCTAATCAGTATCATATTAGGATCACTGAGATCTGAAATTTTCATATGCGAGAAAAAAGACACAAATGTGAGACTAAAGATGGAAAAACCATGTCACCTGAATGCAAGATGTATTTTGTCTTAAAACACAACAACACACATATTTCATAGCTCTGTCCAATGAAAAGGCTTAGAAACAACACTAAACCAGTAGGGACAAGCACTCCTTGTTCATAGTTAGTATCATTTTCCCCATAAAAGTAACATGGAAACTCTGGAGAGTTGGCTGACCCCAAGCCTTTGACATAAAAAGTACAAAAGCGATCAACAGGCCACTGAAAATTATTAGGGCTGTAATAAAAGAACTCATAAGTCAACTCAAAGAAGCCAGAGTTCATCAATGAGGACAATAAACATACCAAATATATTTAAATACTCAAAAAAAAAAAAAAAGTGAATGGTCATTTTTGAAGGCTGCCAGAGTCAACACATTATTTTCAAAAACAGGTAGTAAAAGCTAGAACCAAGCATTTACATGCATTGTATCAATGAGTTGTACCTCAGGGTAATAAAGATGAGGGCGAGCTCTCTTTATAGAAATGTTTCAACTAAAAATTGGAAAAAAGATAACAGAAATCGCACCACTTTGCAACCCTTACTGAATTAATAGATCTTGTCAATGATCAGTAGCAATGATCTAGTAGCATCAGTAGTAGATGACCAGCATATGAGAGACAGACACGTATTTCATATGCTTTTGTTCTCTCTCTCCTCTCTCTGATACTCTGAAACAAAAACCAATTTTACTGAAGCCTCTAGATCTAGCTATGAATTTGCATGAAATACAGGGGACAGAGAATCATGTGAAATTACACTCGAGAATATAACTAGCCAATTCAAAGATGGACAAAGGGCTTGAAGAGACATTCTCCAAAGAGAATACACCAATGACCAATAAGCACAAGATGCTCAGTGTCACCAATCATAGTAAAATGCAAGTTAAATTTACAATGAGATTCCCTCTAATGTATTTTTCACCTTGGTTATTGTATTCTTCATTTCTGACTAGTTCTTTTTTTTTATCCTTGTTAAGTGGTGCATGACTGTATTTGCACATATAAACAAAAAATTAAACAGTGGAAAAACGCAGACCAACTTCCAGTGAATCAAGAAAGACTGCTTGGACACTCATGACAACTAGTAGAGTGCTTAATAAAGGGAGAAGCTGCTGATCTTTCCTAAGTGAGAAAAGAAATGGATACCACTACCATTCCTCAGTGGCCTGTGTTCTGGGAGTGGCTGCCTGGTGCCATGGCAGGTTGTACAAACTTTGTCCTCCAAAAAAGTGGGATGTGTTGTGGCTGGTCTGGTGGATACCTGAGGGATTAGTGGTGATGCCTGCCTCAATTTTAGCCCTTTTTCCAGCAGCAAATTCCCCAGTGACATCTATCTTAAAACTTTAATCAGTCATAAAAAACAAAACAAAGAAGGAAATCTTACCCTTTGCTACAGCATATACCATATGATTTCACTTATATGTGGAATCTAATGAACAAAATAAACTAACAAACAAAATAGAAATATACGCAGAGACATAGGGGAGAGGGTTTAGGGACTGGGTGAAAAAGGTGAAAGGATTAAGATTCCCAAATGAATTTTACCAAACATTCCAAGGATTAATATCAATCCTTTCAAACTGTTCCAAACATTTAAGAGGAGGGAAGGTTCCCAAACTTATTTCACAAGGCCAGCATTATTACCCTGTAACCAAAAACACAAAGACACTCTCAAAAAAAAAAAAAAAAAAAAAAAAAAAAAAAGGCGGGTGGGGGGAGAGGATTATAGATCAATATCCAAACATACGTAAAAATCCTCAACAAAGCCCAAAGTGAAATAACAAGGATCAAAGCAAAAATAAATGGCACAGCCTAAAATATACAAACAAATAAATGAAACCAAGGGCTGGTTCTTTGAAAAGATAAACAAAATTAATAAAACAGGAGAAATGACATCTGACGCTACAGAAATACAAATGATTTTTTTTCAAGTGCTATAAACAAGAATGTGCCAACAAATTGGACAACCTGAAAGAAATGTATAAATTCCTAGAAACATACCATCTTCTAAGACTGAACCAAGATGAAACAGAAAACCTGAACTGACCAATAAATACTAATGAAATCAAATCAGTAATCAAACGCCCAACAAACAAAAACAAAAGTCCTGGACCAGATGGCTTCATAGGTGAATTTTACTAAGTATTCAAAAAATTAATACCTGTTCTTGTCACACTAGAAAGCTCCCTAACACTTTGAGGCCAATATTGTCCTGATATCAAACCAGAAAAAGACACTATGAAAAAAGGAAACCATTGGCCAGTACCTCTGGTGCAAAAATTCTCTGCATCACAGATGCAGATGCAAAAATTCTCAACAAAATATAAGCAAACTGAATTTAGCAATATTATTAAGAAGATCATATACCATGACCAATTCATTCCTGGAACTCAAGGCTGATTCAATACCTGCAAATTAATATGATATATGTATCACATAAACAAAATGAAGGATAAAAATATTATTTCAACAGATGCAGAAAAAAGCATTTGAAAAAAAATCCAACATCCATTTATGATAAAAACTCTCAGCAAAGTGTGGACAGAGGGAACACATCTCAACCTAATAAGGGGCATGTATGACAAACTCACAGCTAACATCATACTGAACATTTCTTTAAGATCAGGGACAGGACAATATGTACACTGTTACCACTTTTACTCAACATAGTATTTAAAGTCCTAGTCATAGCAATCTTACATGAAAAAGAAATAAAAAGGCACCCAAATTGGAAAAAAAAGTAAAACTGTCATTATTTGCAGATGACATAATATAATATAAAGAGAACCTTAAAAATTCCACGAGAAAACCGTTAAACTAGCACTGACTGGTGTGGCTCAGTTGGTTGAGCATCATCCCACAAAATGAAAGGTCACCAGTTCAATTCCTGATCAGGGTACATGCCTGGACTGTGGGTCCATTTCTTGGTTGTGTGCGAGAGGCAACGAATTGATGTTTCTCTCATACATCCATGTTGTTCTCCCTTTTTCTCCCTCCCTTCTCCCCACTTTTAAAAAAAAAATCTTGAAAAAAACCTATTAGGACTAATAATTCAGTAAAGTAGAATTCAAAACTAATATTCAGAAATCAATTGCCTTTTTATACACCAATAATAAACTATCAGGAAGAGAAATTAAGAAAACAATCACATTGACAATTATACAAAAAAAAACCCCCAAACAAACCTAGAAATAAATTTAACCAAGGAGTTTGTAAAAGACTTGGAAAATTTTAAGACACTGAAGAAAGAAAGTGGAGAAGATACAAATTAATGGAAGCATATACTGTGCTCATAGATAGGAAGAATTAACATTGTTAAAATGTCCATACTACCTAAAAAAATCTACAGATTCAATGCCATCCCATCATTTGAAAAAATATGAATGGCATTTCCCCCAGAACTACAACAAATAACCCTAAACTTTATA